AGGGCTTATTTTAGCGCATGCGCTCAAAAGCCCGATTGGGCTTATTATCCAGGGAGGGCATATTTTCAGGGAAACAGGGTATATACCATTTTAGTATATATAAATTAAATGACCTTAAAAAAATGTGATGGGAGAAAAGGTGGAGGATTGTATTGGATACTTAGGGTTTCCAAAATTCTGTGAAATCTAAGTCACGGGAAATGAAAAGTTAAAATGAGCGTTATTCCAGAACACCCAGAAATACCCAGCTTTCTACATAAGAGATGCACGCTAAGCTAAGGAAGTCCTGACATCATTAAATTGTTCCTTCAGCAGCCACTCAAATTCATATTCATCGTATCTCCCCCACCCCCCCTCAAAAATATAGAACAGCAGTTTGATCATTGCAGTGTTGTTCTGCTACTGAAATCTGATAACTCCTGCAGCTAGACAACACAAAATAAATTAGTTTTTAAAAAACAATGCTCTGTTCCTACAACCAATGACAAAAAAATTGTGCAAAAATAAAGATATGTACATATATATATTTTTTTCCAATCTGAAGAATGTACAATAAAACGTAACTCAAAATACATGAAAAATACAACCATTGCTTATATTTTCTTAGTTTCATTTCATTCGGGAAATTACTCCTGTCGCTTCCCAAGTATAAGAAAAACATAAATTACAATAACATTATAAAAATTATTTTTGAGAATATTTTCTAATTTCCTCCCAAAGAGGCCTAGCTTTTGTTTACCGTTGTTAAACATTTTCTCGGTTTTAAAATCTGCCGAAAGCCTTTACTTTAAAAGGAAAGAAGCTAATAAAATCTATTTTGCATTCGTTTTCATTTCTCCCCAAGATGTAAATAAACCGGCATTTTAAGTGCACTTTTAATTCTGTAGAAAGAAAAGTTATTTCCTTTGTAGTAATTTTGTATAGTACCTTAGTATAATTGGTTTCCTGATTACAAAAAAACCTACTTTCGTTTTTTAAAAAACCAGTAATTCCTGTAAAAACATTGTCAGTGCAATTCTACTGATGCAAATTCAGTTATGTCCAGCTTCTGTCTTTATTTTAGAATAATGCTTCACGCGGAGGAGAGCAGTCATTTTCTTGGCTCCTTCACCTAGGTATGAGGAAATGGTCACACAATATTTCTATTAATATTGGCAATAGCTAGATGCATTATTAACCCTTCAGCGTGTGGAAAGAATCTAGAAACACTGAAACCTGTAGCCGTTAACTCAGCAAAATGGATGGACATTTTTCTTTTCATCCCGAGGACAATAATTAATACAGAAGTTACCGCAAAATTGAAAATGATAGCTTTGCTCAAATCTATTCTTTTTTTTTAAATCACAAATGGCATTATTTCAAAATGTCCACTGCTCCCGTTGTTCGCAAGGAACTTAAAAAGAAAAGAGAAAATTTCCTTCCGAAGGCATTAATTAAAATCGGGACCAATTGCACAGATCAGAGGCCAACACATGAAAGAAATTAAAGCAAACAATGACTACAAATATTTTTTGGGGGGGGGGGGGCAAAGGAACAATTTTAATACAAAATTACGAAAAGAAAAGAAAAATCTGCAGGACATCGAAACCAATGAAGCTGGCTTGGAGAAGGGCTGCAAAAATATAGAGATGGTTGTTCTCCTTATTCATGGAAGTGTCCTTATCCTACCAGGCCGGTTTAATGTTTTCTGGAAGAGAAAATAAACAATTCACCTTATGTGACAAATGGGATTGTGACAATTTTTTTTTTAAAAAACAAAACTGCAAAAATTAACAACATACAGATAGTCCTTGACTTATGTTGTGGCCTGTTGGCCTCTGGCCTCAGGGTCAGCATCAAAGCAACCTGAGAGCTCCGAGGGGAAAGCAGGAATGGAGCGGGAAGAGAGAGAGAGAGAGGCGGAGCCTGGGCTGTCCGTCAGCCCTGAGATGGAGAGTCAACAGCCCCCAGGTCTGGAGATAGCTGATGAGGAAGAGGAGGAACAGCTGGGTCCAGTGCCTGACTCTCAGATGCAAAGAAGGCAGAGGAAAGGAGAGCAGTGGAAATCTATCGGCCGGCCCTTGGGACAGAAGAGCCACCGCTGCTAGGAAAGCTCCACCCTAGCTTTGAGGTTAAAAGGCAGGGGGCGGAGATGGATAGATGTGGCAGAGGAGAGGAGAGCAGTGGAAATCTATCGGCCGGCCCTTGGGACAGAAGAGCCACCGCTGCTAGGAAAGCTCCACCCTAGCTTTGAGGTTAAAAGGCAGGGGGCGGAGATGGATAGATGTGGCAGAGGAGAGGAGAGCAGTGGAAATCTATGGGCCGGTCCTTGGGACGGAAGAGCCACCGCTGCTAGGA